GTCTAGCCGCATTCCTACCACATCCTGGGCGTTGATCCAATTTGTATAACAACCCGAAGAGAATTGGTGTAAAATGAAATGAGTTGTGAATTTGCTGTGCCCAGGGAATGAGCATGTGTGCTCACCCATTCTTTTCGAGTTATGAAGCTGCAGGATGCCTCACCGCTACTTCGTTTGTATAACACCACACTGATAAGAAAATATGACATAGATGTATGTCTGTACACTTAATGGCAATCATGCAATGAAAATACTGTCTTGGACATGGAAATCCAGGAGAATGACCGGGACCGGCGCCCTCAGTGTACAGAACGTTACATGCACTGCACATGTTTATCCGATATGACCAGCGCACTGCATGTGTGTACCGTAGACTACGCATACCGAGCCAAGGCTACGTGGACAGTGCCCAGGGGCCGCTAGACTTGCGACCGGATTTACATGTCCACGGCAGTACCAGACAAGTAGTACCATATGAACAAACTGTTGAATTCCACTCTGCATTGCTTTGCTTTGATTTACAATTGTGACTGTGATCTACAATAAGACTTATCAAGAAATTTTTTCCTGTACTGTTGTTTCTTGCATATGCTTCCAGCGTGGCGACACTCCGTTGCACGAAGCCGTCTGGGGTGGAATCGAGGTGTGTCAAGCGCTGATCGCTGGAGGGGCCGACTGTAAAATCAAGAATGAGGTAAAGCACAGTTACATTGATTGTTATGAACCAGGAAAATCCTGTTCTGTGTTTAACCGGATATGTTAATTTACAGCCTTCTCACGACTATACTGTATGCAGGTCTTTGCCGCAGGGTGTTGTGTCTATTGTTCTCAAAATCGATCACGCTCCCATTGCTTGGTATATTCTTGAGAGACACCATCATACCAGAATCTTTCACCTGTGCGGGTCCAGACGGGACAATTATTACTATGTTCCATCCATTAAACGTATGCAGGGCCTGCTCTAGACATTCAACACAGCCCGGTCAGAGTGTACCTTGCGCATGAGGGTCAGCCGGGTCAAGCTGGGTCAGATCATCCTGCAGAAAAACAACCAAAAAGCCTCCTCAAAACGCAGGAAAACAGAAAGGTGAATTTATTACCTGAAATCGGAAATTTTAGAGAACAAGGCGAACTATCAAAGTCCGCAAACGTAGAAGGTAAACGACATTATGTGAGGAATGCAAAGCAGTTCCATTGGATTCTGATTTAACAATTTGAAAAAAAGGAAGTCTGTTTTCTAATTAGTGCTAGTAGCAGGACGAACATGTTCACATAATAGAGCACGGGGGGGGGGGGGGGGGGTGCCTGCAACACCTTGTGGAGTGGCTGCTTGCTGCCACTGCATCATCTGCATGGCCAAGCCGACAGCCATCTGCTGCACCATCTGCTGAAAGGCTTCAGCAGACTGGAGAACTGGTGGAGTTGCAATTGCTGCTGATGCTGCTGCTGCTCCTGCTGCTGGCGCTGCTGCCGGCGCTGGCGCTGCTGCTGCTGGCGCTGCTGTTGCTGGTGGCGCTGTTGCTGCTGCTGGCATTGCTGCGGCTGGCGTTGCTGCTGCCACTGCTGCTCTAGGTGTGCGGGCCAGGTCCCTCCGTTCAGACGAGGTTGACGTGGCAGTCATAGTGCGCCGAGTCACCTCAGAATGCCATGCAGCCATAGCCTTGTCGTGGTTGAAGTCGGCGACGGCAGGAACGTCAAGCTTGATTGCCATGATCATCTCCAGATTCCTCGTCGACAGCGAGTTCCGCATCGCCGTCTTCACAAGCTGAAGTCTCGCTCGCATTCAGCAGTGGACAGGCAAACGGCCAATCCCCAATCAGCGATGCGAGCCAGGTTCGGGTAGTCTCCAGCATGTTCGCGGCGAGAATCTCGAACATCTGCGGGACGCCTATCGAGGCCCGGCGGTTCGGGTGGGTGAGACTAAACGATTACTTGAACAGATGACGCGAAGCAGGTGCGTCGCAAGGTTCACGATAATTATACATGTAGCTACCCGGCTCGAGGCATGGACCACATACATGTCTGTTATCACGGCTGCTGCCCTACACCGCACTGCTTCTGAACTGATTGCGTACCAGCAGTTGATCCTGATTGCTAACCGCCAGTTCTTCCCAAGCGCGTGGCTAGAGTACGACCGCCAGCTGCGGATGCTCGTGGCCCAGTAACCAGGCACGAAGAGGTTGGACACGATTGACGTGAACCTATGGCAGATAGCTGTCACAGGCCATGCACACCCAAAATGCGCTCAATGTAAGACGGTCCATCCAGGGGCGGTTTGTGTCCGTTTCGTCCCCAAGCCAGCAGCATTTACCTCCAGTGGTCGCAACCATACCAGCGACGGCCAAGAAATCTGCCGCAACTTCAATGGAGGTCGCTATTCTTCGTCGTCGTGCCGCTTTTCCCACACCTGCAGCCAGTGTGGCAAGGACCACCCATGCATCATGTGCAACCAGCAGCAGAGCGGAGCCAATCGGCCACCCCGCCGCTCCTAGCAGAATGGCTACTGAATCGCTTGACTCGGTACGTAGCTTCTTTCCTATACACTCTGCAGACACCACACTGCTAGCTGACCACTTTGCCCGCCTGTTACGTAACCACTCAGATCAATCATGTGTTGCGTATGTTCTCCATGGCCTGCGCCGTGGCTTTACTCTTGGATCTGCCGGCCAACACGACATTTCGGTTTTCTCTAATAATCTGCCCTCGGCTTTCACTCACTCGGCATTTATATCCGAGCAATTAGCTGCTTCCTGCGCTTGCAGGGAGACCACAGGCCCATTTCCGTCACCTCCATTTCAGTTCATGCGCCGCTCTGGTATTGGTGCCATCCCCAAAAAGACCGGCAAGCTGCGAATGATCCACCATCTGTCTAGTCCGGAAGGCACCGGCGCGAACGACAGCATTCCTGCCGAGCCGCTCTCTCTGCACTACGCGAGCATTGACAACGCGATCAACATCATCATAATACCATGCCCACAGCCTGTGTATTTGTCCAAGCTCGATGTACGCAGTGCATTTCGGCAGATCCCAGTCCGCCGTCAGGACTTCGCTGGGAAGGCTCCTACTACTACGAGCGCTTACTGCCTTTCGGCCTACGCTCCAGCCCAGCCGTCTTTGACTCAGTAGCCACAGCAGTCAACTGAATCATGCAGCACGAGTTTGCTATAGATCACCGGCTTCATTACCTCGATGACTTTCTCGATATCTCCACTGGTTTGGCTGCAGCCAACCATCAACTCACCATCCCCCTCCGGGCATTCACGTATCTCGGCATTCCTCTTTGCTCCATCCCAGCTCGAAGGGCCATCACCATCATTGACCTTCCTTGGTATTGTCCTAGACTGCGAGCGCCACGAAGCTCGGCTACCAGAGGACAAGCTGTCCGAGACCCATGCGCCACTCATGGCTACTATCAGCGAGCGCAGCATCGGCCAGCGTCAACTCGAGTCCCTCCTGGGGAAGCTCACTTTTGCTGCCCGAGTCATCGTTCCTGGACACACATTCATGCGTTAACTATGATCAGCGTGCCCTGAACTGCGATATCCTCAGGGCCGTCCAAGGCAACCACGGCAGTAGGTACGACATTGACCACGGCGGACTTGGTTGCGAAATTTTTCACGATCGCGGACGGCTATGTCCGCATCCGAGTCATCGCCTTCACTATCGCAGCTCCAGTCATCACTGCCCGAGTCCATGATGGACTGGAGCACCTCTTCAGCCGACATGTGGCGACTCGCCGTGTCTGAGTGACAGCTAGAGAGACCTAAAGTACGTTCCGTCAATCTAATTATTTCTGGATTGAAATATGTTTTTCGCGTGTGCGCTCTGAATGTATGCTCCCGCGCCCATACTTACTCAAACACGGCGAGTCAGATCTTATTCAGTAGGGGAAAACCCCTAGTTTTCCCTCGAAGAGACACAATCAGCCAAGCCAGATCGTAGTGCATGGCCGGTGAGATATAGTAGTGCGCACTACGAGGACGAGATAGCTTGTCCTTGGCCAATCGTGTGGGGGTCTGTAGGACGAGTTATCTCGTCCTTGGCACTGAAAGGGTTAACTTTCTTTCACTTCTGATAGCACATTCTAGACCTGACCTCGGTTGGTCCCCTGACGAGGGAAAAAGACCCAAGAGTCATCAGTATGTGGGACACGTGTTGTGAGCTGCCTTCGGAGTGAAAAACTTGTCAGCGCCTTCTGTTTTCGGCTTGGTCCTATAGTTGGGATGGTTAGAGTATTGCCCACAACAATCAAGGTCCCGGATTTGAGTCCTGGTGTGTTTGGCACTTCTAAGCTTTTCAGGCAGTTCACTTCCTCGACTGATCCTTTGAAATTTGAAGTTCTCCAAGTCTTATAACAAAATTTCCTTTTGAACGCCATAAAACGCAAGCTCCAAAATTGCTGCCGAATCATCCGGGAGTTATCAGATTAAGGCAGGGACCAAGTACAATTATCTTCACTGAAATGCGACATACAGTGCAAAACTGGTACCATGGACCAGTTCCGATCACATCACTGCACTTGCATATGTGTACCTCTAGCCACATTTTTACCACATCCTGGGTGTTGATCCAAATTGTACAACGACACAATGATCCGCCAAGATGAAATACACTCATAACTTGTTTATCCGGGCGGTCTAGGACTGGGCACTGTCCGTAACTTCGAAATGTCCGTTACTCCGAATCACATACATTTGGATGGGGAATGGCCATAGATATGGCATATGTCGCCACTATTTCCACAAAAATTACCTAAAGAGTAGTAACATTTACACTGAAACTCTCCCCAAGTTTGCCCGGTAGCCTGAAATGCCCGTAACTTTGGGGTCTGGATAACCGAGGTATAAGTGTACATGTATGTCTGTACACTAATGGCAATCATGCAATGTAAATACCAGACAAGTTAGACCGTATCCACCAATTGTTGAATTCCACTCTGAATTGTTTTGCTTTGATCTACAGTTGTGATTGTGATCTACAATCAAACTCATTGAGAACGTTTTCCTGTACTGTTGTTTCTTGCATGTGCATCCAGCGTGGCGACACTCCGTTGCACGATGCCGTCAGGAGAGATAACCTCGAGGTGTGTCAAGCGCTGATCGCTGGAGGGGCCGACTGTAACATCAAGAATGAGGTAAAGCGCAGTTACATTGATTGTTATGAACCAGGATAATCCTGTTCCGTGTTTAACCGGATATGTTCATTTACGGCCTCCTCATGACTATAATGTATGCAGGTCTTTGCCCCAGGGTGTTGTGTCTTTTGTTCTCAAAATCGGTCAAGCTCCCATTGCTTGGTATATTCTTGAGAGACGCTATCATACCAGAATCTTTCACCTGACGTGAGTGCCCTTAAATTTGCAGAGTGCATGCTTAAATCAACTTGGTTTGGCCCTCGGCGGATTCAGTTGACGGCAGCTTTTTTCCCGATCATAAGACAGTAATACCGTATGAGGTATGTACTACGAATGTGCAGCCGCGTGAATAGGCTGAGTTTCACTGAAACTGCATTTGGAGTACGATATCAAATTATACATGGAGAATAAAAGGCAAAAAATCAATTTTGAAAGTGTCAGAAGGACAAACAAAATTGCCGCTGAAGCACCCGGGAGGGATCAGATTAAGGCAGCGGTACAATTATCTTCACTGAAATGCGACTTAAAGAGCAAAACTGGTACCAGGGACCAGTTCCGATCACATCACTGCATTTGCATATGTGTACAACGACACAATGATCCGACAATATGAAATAAGCTCATAACTTGTTTATCCGGGCACTACCCGTAACTTCGAAATGTCCGTTACCCCGAATCACATACATTTTGACGGGAATGGCCATAGATATGGCATATGTCTTCACTATTTCCAATAAAATTGCCTAAAGAGTAGTAACATTTCCACTAAAACTCAACCAAAGTGTATCCGGTAGCCTGAAATGCCCGTAACTTTGGGGTCTGGATAACCGAGGTATAAATGTACATGTATGTCTGTACACTAATGGCAATCATGCAATGTAAATACCAGACAAGTAGTACCATATCCACCAACTGTTGAATTCCACTCTGAATTGTTTTGCTTTGATCTACAGTTGTGAATGTGTTCTACAATCAAACCCATTGAGAACTTTTTCCTGTACTGTTGCTTGTTGCGTGTGCATCTAGCGTGGCGACACTCCGTTGCACGATGCCGCCAGGAGAGGTACCCTCAAGGTGTGTCAAGCGCTGATCGCTGGAGGGGCCGACTGTAAAATCAAGAATGAGGTAAAGCACAGTAACATTGAGTGTTATCAACCAGGATAATCCTGTTCTGTGTTTGCACTGTACAATAAACGTACCATAGATCATGTGTTCCCTGACCTTCACCCGATCGAGTGGAATCCTGTCTTAACCGGAAATGTTCATTTACGGCCTCCTCACGACTATAATGTGTGCAGGCCTTTGCCCAAGGGTGTTGTGTCTATTGTTCTCAAAATCGGTCACGCTCCCATTGCTTGGTATATTCTTGAGAGACGCCATCATACCAGAATCTTTCACCTGAGCGGGTCCAGAAGGAACAATGATTACTATGTTCAATCCATTACACGTATGAAGGGTTAGTATGTCGAAGTACAAAAACTCAGAACGACTTCAGGAGGAGCATACAGGAGAATGTCTGGAGCATGAGCTGGAAACAGAAAGGTATTCCGAGCTACATGTATATTGTATCTTACATTGCCACAGGCTAGTGCAGCACAGACTCCATCCTCGTGGATAGTAGCAAGAGTGCATAAACAAGAGTATGCAACTGTGGTTATGGGTCAGTGCGCGGCTCTCTGCCTTTATTACGTAACTTACCTTCACCACGCTCTGAAAGTATGCACTCAAACCCAAACAGTGAGCAAGTACGGTTGTGAGTGTTGAAATCCGAACTAATAAAGTGCAAAGCTGTCACCCTGGACCAGTTCGGATTAAATCGCTGCACTTGCATATGTACACGTCTAGCCGCATTCCTACCACATCCTGGGCGTTGATCCAATTTGTATAACAACCCGAAGAGAATTGGTGTAAAATGAAATGAGTTGTGAATTTGCTGTGCCCAGGGAATGAGCATGTGTGCTCACCCATTCTTTTCGAGTTATGAAGCTGCAGGATGCCTCACCGCTACTTCGTTTGTATAACACCACACTGATAAGAAAATATGACATAGATGTATGTCTGTACACTTAATGGCAATCATGCAATGAAAATACTGTCTTGGACATGGAAATCCAGGAGAATGACCGGGACCGGCGCCCTCAGTGTACAGAACGTTACATGCACTGCACATGTTTATCCGATATGACCAGCGCACTGCATGTGTGTACCGTAGACTACGCATACCGAGCCAAGGCTACGTGGACAGTGCCCAGGGGCCGCTAGACTTGCGACCGGATTTACATGTCCACGGCAGTACCAGACAAGTAGTACCATATGAACAAACTGTTGAATTCCACTCTGCATTGCTTTGCTTTGATTTACAATTGTGACTGTGATCTACAATAAGACTTATCAAGAAATTTTTTCCTGTACTGTTGTTTCTTGCATATGCTTCCAGCGTGGCGACACTCCGTTGCACGAAGCCGTCTGGGGTGGAATCGAGGTGTGTCAAGCGCTGATCGCTGGAGGGGCCGACTGTAAAATCAAGAATGAGGTAAAGCACAGTTACATTGATTGTTATGAACCAGGAAAATCCTGTTCTGTGTTTAACCGGATATGTTAATTTACAGCCTTCTCACGACTATACTGTATGCAGGTCTTTGCCGCAGGGTGTTGTGTCTATTGTTCTCAAAATCGATCACGCTCCCATTGCTTGGTATATTCTTGAGAGACACCATCATACCAGAATCTTTCACCTGTGCGGGTCCAGACGGGACAATTATTACTATGTTCCATCCATTAAACGTATGCAGGGCCTGCTCTAGACATTCAACACAGCCCGGTCAGAGTGTACCTTGCGCATGAGGGTCAGCCGGGTCAAGCTGGGTCAGATCATCCTGCAGAAAAACAACCAAAAAGCCTCCTCAAAACGCAGGAAAACAGAAAGGTGAATTTATTACCTGAAATCGGAAATTTTAGAGAACAAGGCGAACTATCAAAGTCCGCAAACGTAGAAGGTAAACGACATTATGTGAGGAATGCAAAGCAGTTCCATTGGATTCTGATTTAACAATTTGAAAAAAAGGAAGTCTGTTTTCTAATTAGTGCTAGTAGCAGGACGAACATGTTCACATAATAGAGCACGGGGGGGGGGGGGGGGGGGGGTGCCTGCAACACCTTGTGGAGTGGCTGCTTGCTGCCACTGCATCATCTGCATGGCCAAGCCGACAGCCATCTGCTGCACCATCTGCTGAAAGGCTTCAGCAGACTGGAGAACTGGTGGAGTTGCAATTGCTGCTGATGCTGCTGCTGCTCCTGCTGCTGGCGCTGCTGCCGGCGCTGGCGCTGCTGCTGCTGGCGCTGCTGTTGCTGGTGGCGCTGTTGCTGCTGCTGGCATTGCTGCGGCTGGCGTTGCTGCTGCCACTGCTGCTCTAGGTGTGCGGGCCAGGTCCCTCCGTTCAGACGAGGTTGACGTGGCAGTCATAGTGCGCCGAGTCACCTCAGAATGCCATGCAGCCATAGCCTTGTCGTGGTTGAAGTCGGCGACGGCAGGAACGTCAAGCTTGATTGCCATGATCATCTCCAGATTCCTCGTCGACAGCGAGTTCCGCATCGCCGTCTTCACAAGCTGAAGTCTCGCTCGCATTCAGCAGTGGACAGGCAAACGGCCAATCCCCAATCAGCGATGCGAGCCAGGTTCGGGTAGTCTCCAGCATGTTCGCGGCGAGAATCTCGAACATCTGCGGGACGCCTATCGAGGCCCGGCGGTTCGGGTGGGTGAGACTAAACGATTACTTGAACAGATGTCGAAAGCTAGGATGGAGCCGAGCAGCATGCCTATAATTCGAAGCAGTGATTTCTTACCTTTCAACCACGCATCGCAACCAAATCCACCGCCACTCGTCTTCCTTTGGAAATGCGTCTTGCACAAAGCGCATGACATGGATAGGCTGGCATGGTCCTAGTCCAGCCAGGGTCGACCTTTCTTCCAAGAGTCATGGAAAGCGTGAGTTCTTTTTCTCTTCGCTGCGGGCTCCATCGTCCAAATCACCAGTCGGCTGAAAATTTGCAACTGTGTCAAAAGCTATAGCCAAAGTTACACTTTTGGCTGCCTGCAACATCGACTTTGAATGTCCTGACTTCCTGCTCGCCGCTGGCCAGATCACGCTCGAACCAGTTGACAACAGTTGACCCTAGTCCCTAGCGGAGTTTCTGTCGCTTGTAGACTGTAGTGTGTACGGTTGCGCTAGATTTGCAACAGATGGGGTACGCGAGTTGTAAAATACCGGTATTTTAGGAATCCATTGTCAGTTTGAGACATTTTTCAGCCGGGTCAGACTGGACCCGGTGTTATCTGTTCAGCCAGATCGAGCAGTTTCCCAGCCGTGCGCGGGACCTGGCTGATCCGGCTCTCCAGCAGGCCCTGGTATGAAGAGTTAGTATGTCGAAGTACTAAAACTCGGAACGACTTCGCGAGGAGTATACAGGTGGACTTAAGGCGCATGAGCTGAAAACAGAAAAGTATTTCGCGCTACATGTATATTGTGTCTTACATTGCTGCAGACTAGGTCAGCACAGGCTCCATCCTCGTGAATAGTAGGCTGTGCATACAGAACATCGAGCATTCCAGATGTGAATACAGGATTTCCGTACAAGAACCCTCATGTAGGGTTTAGGTGCACTAGCTGCACAAACTGGTTTCACGAGCAAAGAACAGAAGCACGGAAGCTAAGACTTCTGCATGCCTTCCTCCTCCTTTTATTTCTTGCGCCACTTTATGTCAACATGTCGGAGACGAAGTGAGTGCCCTTAAATTTGTAAGATTTGTAACCCGTAAAATAAATAATTCTGTGGACAAAAACAAACAGCTACTGAGTAGCAGCTGCACTGGGCAGCAGTGATGGCGAGGTACCAGGGGCTCCACCGACCAAAGGTCTCGGCTTTAATGCCACAAGCACGCACCAGGAAAATGAAACAGAGATGTAAAGCGAAGCTAGATCTAGCTATGGGGAAGTAGAATGGGTAAAAGCGCCGGTTGGTGTTTAGAAAAATAAAAACAAGATAAAAAGAGATTGTAAATTATCAGTGTTTGGACTGATGTACCATGTACATGTACACGTATGCAAAACACAGCTGAGCACTCTGAGCAAGGCCAGGTACGCGGATTAGCGGGTCGGGCAAGTTTTAGAAAAATAAAAACAAGATAAAAAGATATGAGATAACAACACTCGTGACAAGGTGGAAAATTATCAAGTTCAGCACGACACAAAACTCGAAGGAAAAAATAATAGTGACAAGAACATAGTGAGCAAATTAAGTTACATTGTTAACACCTCGACGAGGAGTAACACCAAACAATTGTAGCGACAACACATTTTCTTTCTGTACGCAAAGTTCAGGATCTAACTTACGGCTATACAAAGCTTCTAACACAGCCAGATGCAACGCACATCTACCACGTGACAATATTGAGAACACATTATCACTGTACAACTCACGACAATTGGTACGGGCTGACAGATGTTGATTGATTGACAAAGTGCGATTCTTAGCTCCGTTGGGTGTTGTCTCCTCCAATGTCCCGTCATCTCGCCTCTTCGCGGCATCACCACTATCCGTCTCTTTGCTTTTCCGCGGCCTTCCACGTTTTCTGACACTAGCCGTTGTGTGCGCGATGCCCAGTGTCCTTTCAGCTACGTCTCCTCCATTGCGGATTTCTATTGAGCGTCTTACTCCAACTTGTCCGGTGTCCGATATTGAGGTTCGTTTTTGCGGTCTACCACGTTTTCGAATATTGACTGTAGTTGTCACTTCTGTTGTCGTTGTACGTGCGTCCTCACCAGTCCGTATTTTTACTTGGCTTCGCGTAACCCTTCCCGGCGCGGACAGATCCTTATGAAGCTGCAGGATGCCTCACCGCTACTTCGTTTTTTTGCAGATGCAGCGCCTAACAGTGGGGGTTAGTGGCTAAGTCTCACTACCACTGGCACAAATGCCATAGGTGGTCATGAACAATGAAATCAGTTCATTTCACCAAAAACCTGGATCGACATGAAGTCATTGGACATTATTTTCATCTTCTACTAAGTTCTAGTGAAGCAGTTTTCAATCGTTCCAGTTGTCCTGATACGATTTCAACGCAAAAGAACAGCGCTGCCTTCTCTGCGCCATGAAAGCCCGTTGGAGAGCAGCACGGTCGTTCTGAAGAACGGAAGTGGAGCATAGGCATAGACAATGTTTACGACTTCCAGTTGTTGTTCAGTCCTAAACTTCTTTGCGCATGAGCTGGCGCTGCATGACAAGCCATTGATATCCGCGAAGGGAGCCAACCACCTGGAAGAAGTCGTCTTCAATCAAATCTTTGCACTTTGCCTTGCACAGGCTTGGATCAAATTTCGAGAGAAGGTGGGTTTCTTCAACGCTATTGTCGATCCTGGAGCGGACCAGGGATCAATTTCGGAGTTACTCTTGGCTAGAGAAGGAGAAAAAATGAACTTCGAATTACGAGTAGAGCAACTCCATCTCACTTCGAAATAAGCGCTCGAAGGACATAGTCACTGTACTGTAAACTGTTCTTCTGTACGAAGGCAGAGTTCGAATTATCCGGCGGGCGCACTTTTCGTACTTCGAATTATGCATTCGAATTTAACTTGAAGTGACTTGCAGAAGATCGGTAGGAAGAAAAAGTTCGAATTACACGGAATGCTAGAATTATACCGTATTCGAATTAGAGGGAGTCTACCTGTACAAGAACTTGGAATGACTTCGGAAGGAGTAGAAAAGAGAACTTCGGGTGCATGATCTGGAAACCAAAAAGCAAAAAGTTGCACAAACTTGTTTCGAGAGCAAAGCACAAAACCAGGGAAGTTAGGGAGCATCTCATAAGTTCGCATTTATTTTGCAAACGTAACGCATTTCAAATAGACTTTACCCCCCCCCCCCCCCTACCTCCCCCCTCTATTCTAAAGTCTTATCGCACATTTTCTGTGTTTATCTACTGTACACGTCCATGCGGCCCCATGCTATGGTATGCTTATGTACATGATTGTACATGTACATGTACATGGATATGAATGTTTTGCTAGAGCGGTCGTGAATGGCATACAGTAGTACCGCATTTACTGAGTACAAGTACAATCAATGACATGTACACGCACATAAACATAGTTCCTCCACAACAACTGTACTGCTGTAAACGCTGGCCAGGCACATGTACACGGTTTGATCAGGCTGGTGTGACATTTGACACCTCTGAGTAGCCTGCATGCATGTAGTGCAAGGGTTAGCGGCTGATTCAGCTGATTCAGCTGATTCGGCTGATTCAGTTGACGTGACTTTTCTGTAAATCATAAGTAATACCATACTAGACATGTACTACAAATCTGTGGACGTATGAACTTGGCCAGATTTCACTCTACAGTAAAACCTGGTGTAAGCGACCTCTGCTTTTAGCCACCATCTGCTTTTAACCAGCATTTTTCCATGCATGGACAGTTCTACAAGGAAACTGTACCTGCCTTGCGTGACCAGTGACCGTCTTTTAGTGTACCAAATGCCATATTGGACCTGCACACAGCGACCAAAAAATGCCAGACCCATCAGGACGCAAACCCGGGACCTTGTTTGTCATGAGCAATGCTCTAAACATCTCTTGAGACTAGTTGCCATTTCTCACTTCCCTCCTGTGCGTTTGCTGCTTATCGTGTTTTTGTTTGAATTCGATTTGTTTTGTCCATTTTCTTTAACGTATTTTTGGGAACACAGCCCCATGCGGTATCCACACCCGACAAGGAGAGTATCACCAGGACATCTGACTTCCAGCCATACAATCTCTAGCTCAGCAGCTTCCAAATCCATTCGTCTTCGGACAACCACAGACTCATGGCAGTAAATGCCGACGCCACCACCTTGCTGGATGGGGCGGTCCTTCCTGAAAAGTTTGTAATGAGGAATCGCCAATTCTCCATCACCAACATCGGGTTTCAGCCAGGTTTCTGACATACCAAAGATGTGCACTCCTCTGGCCGACAGGAACTCCTTCACCTCATCCACTTTCCGTCTGATGCTGCAAACATTCAGAAATGAGATTGTCAGCATTGACCTTTAGATTTGCTGCGGGTAAGCACTCCATCGTTGAGATCGCTGGTCGCTGACTGATCTTTTGGTCCGTCAGGCTTCTGCATATCCACTGAGTTCCCAGATCCAGGGTACTTGTCGAAGTTCCATTTTCGACTGTAGTACGGAGATGGCCAAAATTCCTTTGTATTTACAAGTTCAATACTCGTTCTGTTGAGAATGAGTCGGGCTGAGTGACCTTTCTCCTTGGGAAATAGTGTGCAATCATGGATTTGCACCTTCACGCCAACCTCTTGCGCCCTTTGTTGTACGTATTGACAAAGGGTATCTGCATGGCAATCCTTCCGGAGGTTGCCCACAAACAGAACAGCCGTCCTTCCTGTTGGCTTCTTGGTGCAGATCAGCTGCCATAAATTGCTGCCTTCCGCATCCTCTTCAAAAGTAGGGAGCATTCTGGAAAGTCCTTGTTTGCCAGGTTTTGCATCAGTTGGAGCATCTGGGTCCATTTGATGCACCCTGGACGCTTCAGTCACGCTGGTATCTTGTTGTTCGGTACGTACAACTGAGGAGCATGGTTCAACCGAATCTCGTACTAGTTCCTTTTGAGGACAGCCAGCTACGGGTACGGGTACGCCAGGGCTGGAAGCTGCAGCTCGCTTCTGTTTCTTCTGGGATGATTTTTTCACCGAGGGAGATCCTTGGCGTCTTTGGCCACCATTGTCGTCTTGAGCAGACTGCAAAGCCGTCATCTCGTTTGTGAGCGCTTCTACCTTCCGCGTAAGGTGGTCGATACGATTTAGAAGTCGTTTCTCCCTATCCTCAGCTGCACTGCGGTCTAGCTCCAGTATCTCAACGATCTTCAGAAAGTAAGATTTCTCCATACTAGTACTCTGGTTTGAACTTGCCGATTCGAAGGTGGGGGACACCAGATCTGCCGGACACTCGACATCTACTGGCACGCCTGTCGCCATAGCCCAGGACAGTGTTGTACCTGGCATGGGACGGTCTCTTCACAGCTAAAAAAGCCCAAAAACACAGGAGCGTGGGAAACTGCTTCCGACCTACACTGTAAAAACAAGTCACAGTCCTCTTAAGGGGGTTCGGGACAGTTAGGCCCAAAAATTTAATTTCAACATCAGCCCAATCTGACATCAGGTTTGAATAGGTACAGCCTTATATTTTCGCTTAGTTACATCAGTTTTTCAATTGCCCGAATAGGTCTTGCCAAAAACACAATTTTCCTTGATGACACAAAATAACACAAAATCCCAAAATTGATGAGAAATCGTCCATAACATCAGTTAGGACAGAAAATATGACCTAAAATTTTACAGACTGTTCGAGGTATTGACTAAGATGATATCAACACCGAAAAATGTACACTTTGGTTGACGATGGGATCCAGGTCGTCATTTTCTGGAGAAGAACAAAAAGACGCAAAAAATGAAACTTTGAATATTTTTTGCAGCTTATTTTTCAGTTTGCCCCATATGTGGATACTTCAAATACGTTCTATAAGTGGGTTGGAACAGGTTTACCGCGGCGAAAGTAGGGGTCACCGTGCATATTCTGGAGAAAAATCCAAAAAACTGTCAAAATTTGCCTAAAATTGGTAAATTCACGTATCTATATTGCTTGTACTTCTCTGCTGCTGCTTTGGTCATAACTTATTGGATTTTTGGCTGTTAGGTGTTGCATAAACTCACTAGAGCCCTCGGCGTTCAGAACAATACAAGGATGGAATAGCTGAACTAGTAAATTTGCCGGAAAACCCTGGGTGCACGCATTATCGATAGGTACTTTTCTCCATGATTACTCTCCTGTTGGTACTTGGTTGTGATACATGTACATGTAGCTGTGATAGCGCTTAGCACAGCCCCATATCAAACTACAATGAAAGCTGACATGTTGGAACGAATCAGACATCATTGAGTCCTCTTGTTCTTCAACTATGCGAGCTAGAACGTGTCCCAACACTGGCAAAAATGATGGTATTTTACGGTGCGCACAAACAAGTGAAGCACTGTGCCACAGGGCGTTCCTTACAGTTGGGTTGCTGCTGGTTCTTCGCTAGGTGTTCAGCCACCGCTAATATAATCTTCCTTGAGACTGTCACTCGCTTCTTACCTCCGACTTGCTCCTTCATCAGTCTGGAAATGGCTGGCTCACCACTTCGTTTGTAGGACAAGACAAAGTGCTTCATCACCAACCCACTGGCAGCTGCCCGCACTGCAACTGATTTAGAGAAGCACGTTGCTTGGACCAACGGTTGAAGGGTGGCCAGCCGCTTTTGCTGATGTTCTGCAAACTCCATCGCCGAACATGCTGATGCAAAAGTGACAGAGTTCTACAGGATACTGGCATCAGGGCGAGCTTCGACAATTTCAGCTAGGGCCGCAACATCCGCAACAGCATCATGAGCAGCGAATTCATTCCCAACGATGAACTATAAATCAATCTGAGGCTGTAGCTTGGGAGCTCCGGTATCGCGGTTTAGGGATCAGAGTGTTCACCCAGCACAAAAATGCACACCATCGACACACACACATCCGTGCACACATACACACACACACACACACACACACACACACGCACACGCACACAGACACACACACACACACACACACATGCATGCTCTCACACACAATAGAACACACGCGCGCGTACACACACATACATTCACGAACGTGTGCGTACCCACCCACATGCATGTGCACACTCATGTGCATGAGTGGAGATGCCCGCATACACATGTCACACCAGCATGCCCTGGGAGCGGTCATGCACGTGTGTATAGTATGTGTGCGAGGGCACGTCCACATGAGCGCATATGCATGTGCATGCTCATACATGCGTATGGTGCCTCATGCACAAACATGCAGGTCTATGCAAACACACACACACACACTCGCGGCCGCCGCGCATACAGTGCTCATACATTTCCATAGCCATTGGGTGGCAATGACTCTCAAATATCATGAATAAATCTTATGAAATTGAAAAACGCACTTACCCAAAGCAGCTTTGGTGTTGCTTGTGGAAGCACGGGGGCCAGGGTGTTGAGCAGTTACAGGGCTATCTGTAATGTATCTATAAAATTCTCCATCCCACACTGCTGACACGGAATGACAAGTACGCTGCCCAGGTCGTACCTCTTCTCTTTAACGCAATCAATGAGCGCCAGAGGTTTGCCACATCCAGGATTCTGGCACGCAGACAATCACACAGCCAGATACCTGAGATGAACGATTCGTCGACCGTGAAGAGGGGCACTGAACGACCTCTTCGCGGGAGTCGAATCCAGTGGCGTTAGTGGTGGAGATCGCCCTTTCCGTTTTTCAGGAACTCGATCGATCGTTTGAGTTTGCGAAGCGTCCCCGTCCTCGGCTTCTTGCATCGTCCAGTACGCAGAATGAGAGGCCGCGTCGTGGGTGACGGATTTCTCTCCCGCGTCTTCATCTCCACGACACGTCGGCAGGAGAACCGAGCTATCCAAAAACCGCCAATGTCAAAACAAATCCGCAAGTCCACTAGTGGCTGAGCTTCTTTCTCAAATCTTGTCTCGACTCGAGCACGCGCTGCGAAGTCATGGTCAAACTGCTTATTTTTTTACTCGATTGTGCATGATCGCGTCCCATTTTTCCACTCCGAAAGGCATTATTTTTCAGAAAAAAATTCGGAAATCCAACATGGCGCTAACCGTCGCGAACCTCCTTAAAGGGTTAAACTCGCCCAAAGTTTACCCGGTAGCCTGAAATGCCCGTAACTTTGGGGTCTGGATAACGAAGGTATAAATTGCTCCTGAATCATCCGGGAGGGATCAGATTAAGACACTGACCAAGTACAGTTGTGAGTTTTGAAATTCGGCCTAAAGTGCAAAGCTGACACCCTGGACCAGTTCTAATTACATCACTGCACTTGCATATGTGTATGTCCAGCTGCATTTTTATCACATCCAGGGCGTCAAGGGCTATGCGAGTTCATGGCACCCAATAGTGCACTTTGGGTGGGACTTCATTGAGCACAACTGCATAAGTACCTGTATGACATGATGTATATACTGATAAGTGTGTTACGTGTATATTGCAACTGTCTTGTGTTTAGGCTGGCAAGACTCCATTGGACAGAGCGAGATTCCGGCACCATCATGCGGTTGAAGAGCTATTGGAGAAGGCCACTCCAAAGCCATCATGATACCTTTACTAAGTGTAAAGTGACTATGCACACACTGCCGGTCATTTCCTACCAGATGTAGCAACATGGCAGCTATCTTTCTCTGGCGAATCCAGAGCTTTAATCGTCACATATGCATGACTTTGCATGTATTTGAGCAATGGGCAGGTAGGACTGCGGTGTTTTCTGGCTGTCCCAGCCGACAATGCCAGCGCATGATACCATACATTTCTAGACACGCTCTCTTCCATTTCCTCTTCTCTTCTAAGTATCTGTTGCAGATTTTCTTGCACCCTACCCAGTTCTTAACTAGAAGTTACAATGCTTATTTTGCGGACAATTAGAAAAGTTAGAATGTTAGCAAAGAAGTTGTACAATGTCTCTACAGTAGCGCGTCGCTAGCATCTCAATTAGAATCAATTGCCATCCTATCGGCAGTGGACAAGTTCCATTTTCATTATCGTAAGTTTCTCCTTTTTATCAATTGCTCGCTTGACTAGGCTATTCGGTATGCAAGCAGCCTTGTGACTTCCAATGCAAACGGCCACCAATATTTTTTAATTTTGTTATACCGCCATCGGAAGTTATGGAGACAAGAACTTGATACTAGGGGGTAATAATATACCGGTAATTTACTACTCCCTGCTTGATACTACCGGTATAATCATTACTCATAGCATGTTGCTACATTTTTCTCTGGCCTGCGGCAGTGTTTACCGAAGTGGTACGCCTTGGCACGTTCCTTATTTACACTGGCATGCTCTGATACACATGTACTTGTACGTGTACATGTATATCCTTGTGGAACGACTATCACTGACCCTGAGGCTTCTCGCAGTGAATGCATACCTTGTACAGGTCTACTCTCCATATAACGTAATCTCTGGGACCACGCAAAAATTATGTTATATCGAGAGTTATGTTATGTAGAAAACCGTGTGTAAAATACAAGATCCACCTCAAAATGAAGGGTATTCAAGGCGGGTTCAATCGTGCAAACATATACACACTGTACCACCATCGACATCAGATACCATCAATGCCGCAGAATATAATGCACATAGGACTAAACTGGCTAGCTACGGCTACAGCTTGATTGTGCCGCGCACCTGAATCTACGTTGTATCGAGAGTGTACACGTCGGGGACTGCGCCGTAGGGTGCGTTATGCCGAGGTTTACGTTATGTAGGACTAAACTGGCCTAAACTGCCTAGCTACAGCTACCACTTGATCATACCGTGCACGTGAATTTATGTTGTATCGAGAGTGCGCACGTCGGGGACGGCCGTAGCGTGTGTTATGTCGAGGTTTATGTTATGTAGGATTATGTTGTGTAGAACAAAATTTGTATGGAAGTGATGCTGTTTCGGCGCGGGATTTGGCTTTTTTATGTACTAACGAGGTTTATGTACAAGTGAGAGTTGTTATATCGAGAGCAGACCTGTATTGCTAATTTTGCATGGGTTTCAGTGATGTTCTGCGTAGAATGTTTCAGCTTTGCACTGATTTGTATTATTGGAGTTATTGGTGATTTTTCTTATCAATTTCACGCTCTTTGTTGAGCACATCCAGTAGTTAGCCCCTCCATACCTACCGTGTACAACTCTGAGGAAGCGAAACAGCTTTCAGTGAAGAATTTTCCAACTATGGAAAGCTCAGAAACCCAATGAGATACATGTATGAGAGAGGTTCCCCACTGAGTAGCCACTACGTAAAGTTGAGCAACTTTAGTTGAGCAGCTTTACGCAAAGGGGCGGAGAAAAACCTGTCAAATCGCGAGTTTGCACTCCACTCGGAAAATGCCCTCTGCTGTCCTGTGCTGTGGACGGGCATGTGCTCGGGGTCTTGCAGGTCACATTCCCTGATCTAGTGAATCGTGTGGTGCAATAATCACGAATGAACCTTGACTACACCTCACATTGATTAGCCACGCCACCTCCGTATTTCATTTAATTTTTAATTTTTCGTTCCACTGCATTTCCGTCAGTACAATAAGCACACGTTGGTAGAGCTGCGGTTGTCATGGTTATCATTGGTCCATCATGGGATGTGTTCGGTGGGTTTGCGGTTCATACATGCCCACTAAGCTCGCGTTCAGTCTGTCACGGAAACCAGCGAAATTCTAGTTGTATCTTATACGCCATCGGGTACTGATTTGTTGACCCCGCCAGACACGTGTCCAGTATGTGCACCAGTACAGTATGCACCGGAAACGGGCTGAAACATGCCAGTAGAAAATATTACTACTCCCAGGTTTCCACACACACACACACACACACACACACACACACACACACACACACACACACACACACACACACACACACACACACACACACACACACACACACACACACACACACACACACCATTGGACCATTGGACGCCCATCGCCGGAGGCGATGATTGCGATGCTACAGCAGAAGCCATAGCAACTTGTGCTGGGATTGCACCATTCAACAGCTTGCAAGGCTGAAGAATTGACCACCACTATTCAGCCTGGTCTACACCACACAGCTATGAAGTGGCTTTTTCTGGCCAGTGAATCCCTACTTTTTGGTCTTTTGCACACACACACACACACACACATATACACACACACAGAACATGGTTTCTGGCAGGGGTACCGTAAAGTACCCCCCCCCCCCACACACACACACACGCTATGTCGCTTCCCAGTTTCCCAGCTGGGAAGTTTTCGGCGTGGGACGGGAATTAGATCAAGGCTGTCGAGTACAGTACAATATACAACAATGTGGAGGATCAGACTCAATGTGCTGGATTGTGCACATTTTCATCCTGCACTGGCATGTATTGTGTACAGCAGTGCATTCGTCGGTTCAACATCGTATTTCGTTGTATACGCCGAAGTCGCTTCACAAGTAGAAAATCGAGAGGGGGCAGCAATTAGAGAGGGGCGGATCAACGGTACTTTGCGGTACTAGCTTAGTAATACAATTGTCCTCAGCAGTTCTGTACTACTATACAATTCCCAGAAGTGTGCAACTCCCGCAAACAGAGCTGTTCCGACAGAGTTTCATTCCAGTTGACATCATGGCACTTTCATAATGCAGTGGTATGGTCCTGAGTGCACGTGCGATTTACGATTTCTGTGCTGAGTTTCCCAGGTGTATTCTTGCACTGTTTTTACGACTCGTACTTTTTTTGCAAGTAATAATAATAATCGATTTCCACAGTTATGCGTCATGGCCCAAAAATTTCTTGCACTTCCACGTGCAAGAAACAGTTAAAGGGGAAGTTAAGGCAAAAATTAAAATTTCACCAGTTGTAGTCTTCGGGGTGCTGAGTCGAATGGTCTTGGTCCGAGGAAGCTGAGACGCTCCCTTCCTACTTGAATCCCAATCGAACTCGCGCACTTCCACCGAAACTGGGTGACTGCGCCCTACTAGATGGGGATTTGTATGTAAAATGTCACTAAAAGCGCCATTTCGTTCTTATAAAAGCACGGATGACCGCGATTGGTCCATATGTTGTAGTCTTTTGGACGCTGAGTCGACTGGTTTTGGTCCGAAAAGGCTGCGATGCAGCGTTCCTCCTTTATTCCCAATCGAACATGGTTGAACAAGCGGTCACGTGCTGCTGCGTACGCCAGTCACCTGGTCACCGTGCCTGCAGGGTACAACTTACTAGCCTGTTTGACCTTTTTTGGGTGCAGTCCTGTCACTCGAGTTGAACCTTGGTGTGAAAGTTGTCACCTGCTGGCGTGGTGACCAGGTGATTTGGGCACCCAGGAGCACGTGACCGCTTCTTCAACCACGTTCGATTGGGAATAAAGGAGGAACGCTGCATCGCAGCCTTTTCGGAACAAAACCAGTCGACTCAGCGTCCAAAAGACTACAACATATGGGCCAATCGCGGTCATCCGTGCTTTTATAAGAACGAAATGGCGCTTTTAGTGACATTTTGCATACAAATCCCCATCTCGTAGGGCGCAGTCACCCAGTTTCGGTGGAAGTGCGCGAGTTCGATTGGGATTCAAGTAGGAAGGGAGCGTCTCAGCTTTCTCGGACCAAGACCATTCGACTCAGCACCCCGAAGACTACAACTGGTGAAATTTTAATTTTTGCCTTAACTTCCCCTTTAATTAAAACTAGTTTGTACGGGATCTATGGTCAAAATGAGAATTTGTTCACCATACATGTACATGTAGGTCAAGGCTACGGCTGATATTATCAAGAGTACGTTTATGTACTCTTGATATTACGTATAGTCATGTACAACGTGCATTGCATCACTAATACCGGTATTGGTAATATATTTTTAAAGATGATGTCAACTCTAAATTCTGTCGGCACATAAATATGACGAACCCGTACACATTATTTGCACCTTCAAGTGTACATGATAGATATAGCAGAGTTGTATTCAACCCATGCTTTGGGTTCAACTCTCTTGTGGTCACTTTGCACTGTTTTCCAGCATAACCTGTTGGCATGTTATGCAGGGGCGCGTTGGGCGTCGGAACCTGTGCGGCAGGTGCGGCTTTGGCCGCACCAATCAACTTAAGACTTTTTTGAAGCAATAAAAATAATATGGTCTTTTTGGGACCAATGTCCCTAAAATAATTCACGGGGGAGGGCACCGGACCCTCCACCTATTCATATGGCGCACCAATGTCGAATACGTTCCGATGCCCCTGTTATGTGATGCGATGTGAAGTTCTGCCGTCGCAGCACTGAGGCTGTGCAGACAGTTGCACGCTCCCTGGGGGTTATGTACTCTCGGCTTGACGATACCCTTTTCTGCGCTGCATATGACATTGTATTCTTGCAAAATTGTATTGTGTGGATGCGCAAAACTTAGGAGTTAAAATTTTACTTATATAAAAATTATTAATTTTCGTGAACTGCATTCTGCATAAAATGCAGTTCGCATTATGTGTAAAAACGGTTTATTTTAGCACCAGCCCGCCTCCGGCTGCGGAGCTCCGGGGATAGTTTTGGTAGCACTCGGAAGTCTTGAGGTACTATTTTGCAGTATTAAAATTTGGTCTGGGCACACTGATTACTTACCAGTGGTTTGAGCGGAAGACTTGAACCGGGCACCGCAGCCACACCATAGCACTGAGGTAGACCTGTTTTGACGATGACAGCTGAGCATGTACCTTTACAAGAACAAGGAGGAGGAGGAGGAGGAGGAGGAGGAGGAGGAGGACACACTACTGTGTTGAGAACCATGCTCCTGACTGACTACCACAGAGTAGCTACCTAGCTGTGGCCTTTATTTTGTTTGGCTTAGTATAGCTGTTGTTTGTCAGTAGTACTAGTAGCTACTGCATGACTACACTCGTGGACTCCTGCTTGGTTGTGTTGTACCGTACTACAAAAGATCTACGAAAGGACGATTGTGACCAAGAGTAAAGTATTATTACTTTGATGTGACCAGTCTTCTTGTACGGGCAACAGAACATAATGAGACTCGTAGAAAAAGAAGATGAAGGCCCAACCCTGCCCTGCCAGTTATGTGGACTTACGGGGGTCGCCATGGCAAATAATAATGGAAAAACCAAGATTAATCATGCAACGCAAGTAAAAAGAAAAAGAGAATGGAACAGAGGATCAGAAGTGGCATTCTGCATGTGGCCAGCACGGCGAGAATGTCAGCCGAAGCTCGGTCAGATTTCGGCTGAGCGGCGCGATGTCTACGGAGGCTAGCATTTGCTGAGCGAACAAGAGAGCAAGAGACCCTTGACCTGATCCAGGCCAGTACGGTGGAATAGGGCTCTTTTCTCTGGTCCGAAAGCATACAGGCAACTCT